TACCGACCTACCGACCTACCGACCGATGCAACGACAACAATCACAACGACAACAACTGCAACGACGACGACAACCACGATAACGACAACGACGACAGCGATGCAAAACCACGACGATGGCAACGATGCCGACGATGACGACCAGAAGAGCAACAACACGAATAAGAAGAACAGCAACCTACCTACCCACCTGCCTGCCTGCNNCCCGACCTACCCTACCTACCCTACCTTACTCGACCCTACCTACCCTACCCTCCCCTACCTACCGCCTCCCTGCCTGCCTGCTACCTACCTACTTACCTACCGACCTATCTACTTATCCATCCATCCACATCCGTCTGTCCGTCTAGCTTGATTTTACATACGCCCCTCTGTTGCTTTCTCATGTTGTCTCATACTCTATGCGGCAGCTGGGAGATTGTTGCTGGCTTTCGTGGTGGGTTTCCTTAGCTTGCGAGACATGGTGCGACGTGGTGCGTCTCGGCGCGTAGAGCCGTTCGCAGTCGGTTCCCCGAGGCTGGCACCAGCGACTGCGAGCTCTCCTGGCTTCACGTGCGCGCCTCGCTCGAGGACTGCTGGGTTGAAATGGGCCAGGGAGCTTTTCGAGGCCATGGCACCTTAGGGGGAATCGACGCGGGTTTTCGAGGTAGAAGCCGCATTCCACAGTTGAAGCTGGTTCAGTGGTGTGGGAAAAAAGAGGGACCTGGAGCTGTGGTTGGATAGGGCTCAGATTAATGCAGTCGTGCGCTGAAGATGCAGGCTCAAGCAGTTGGCTTGGGCCGGGGGGCAGGGTCACGCCGGTAGGATGGCATGCTCGAAGCCCAGCGCGCTGCTTCAGCACGCGGCTACCCTGCGGGATGAAGCCAAGATGCGGAGCTTCGCAAGCACATCGCCTTTCGAGATGTACCTCTGAGGTTCTTGAGAATAGACTCTGTCTGAATAACGGTAGATTGGGTAGGACCGAAGTCCCAGTTTTGCAAGGACTCCCGAGAACAGCCAAGGTACGTGGTGTCCATGGAAACCCTACTTCACATGACAACCCTTCGTGTGCATGAAGACTTGATGGCAGATGGCCTTCTACACATTTTCCGGGAGGGTAAGGGCTATGCAGCAATCTTTGTTTCACATCAGTGGGCTGGAAACGGTCACCCTGATCCCGACTTCGAGCAGTTTCAGGTCTTGCAGGCCTTTCTCTCCAAGCTCATCAGTCGTCAAATCACGTCGATTTCCGGGAACATCTTGGCCGAGCTGTACCTCGACAAGCCGAAGATTCCTGCCAAGGAGCTGCAATCCTTCGAGCTGTCAGTTTGGTATGACTGGTTCAGTGTTCCGCAGGCGAAGGAGGCCGTCGCGGCAAGGACATTGGCAATCCAGAGCATCCCGCGCTACGTGGAGACTTGTCATTATTTCGTCATGCTTTGCCCTCTGGTGAAGCACCAGCAGGAAGGTACGATCATGGGAAAGCGCTCCTACATCTCCCGTGGCTTGGCATTCTTCTGGTTGGCCCTTGGGACTTTAACTTTTTGGGTCTAAAAGTTTAACTGTTAGGAGGGGTTCTGAAGCCAGCCAAGGTGGATGGTGTCGTTTGGAACTGGCAGCTCGCATTCTGAGTGAGCGGGAGTCTGCAACCTCCACCATTGAAGTGCACACGTCCAACCACCAAGTGTGTTCGCCAATTGGTGATTGGATATTGAAGGCAGTCGGTGAGGGAAGTTTTTCAGTTTCTCAAGACTTGCATCATTGCGCTGCAGTGGTGACCGGCATGATCGACAGGAAGTTGGAGCATTTTCTAAAGAAGGACGACCTCCACAGCTTTCGGGTTCTCTTTAATCTCCGCAGTGTCATCTACAGGAGCTTGCCAGCTGTCCCATCCGCCACCGTCGTGCCGGGATTTCAGTCTTCGGAAACGGATCCGGCGAAACACAGTCTAGAGTTGTTCTTACACCAGAATGGCCTGACAAGCGTTTGTGATCCTTGTCCGAACGGATGGACACCACTCTGCTACGCGGTTCTGGGAGGCAGCCCCTTGTTGGTAAGCGCGCTCTTGGAAGCGAGAGCGAACCCTCATGATTGCTTGAAGAAGACCAAGGCAACCCTTTTGCCAAACGTTGCAGGCATCACAGTGCTGCAAGCCTGTATCTACCTCCGTCACAACGAGGCCGCGAAAGTTTTGATATCGTTCAAGGCGAATGTGAACGCGAAGGACAGTAACGGAGCAGAGGCCATTCATTGGGCCTCTTCTTCGAACAATGTGGATGCCATTGGCTTGCTGTGCTCCTTGGGCAGTAGCCCCATAAAGGCCGTGAGCACGGGTCACTTGCCCTTCGCCATTGCAAGTGCGACAGACAGCCTCGAAACTCTCCGAGAATTGCTTCCACGCACCACACAGGAGTCTGTTCGTTCAGGCTTGCATTCTGTGTTCTTCTTTGGAGGCACTTCGGGGAAGATTGTGGCGACGTTGATCAATGCCGGGGCAGATGTGAATGTCCCAATGTGCACTTCCTGTATGAGTACCTTGGGTTTGATCCTCCGGTTTTTCGCCCTCCGGCACCGGTGGTCCAAGACAGCCCTGAGCACTTTCGCTTACCATCACCAAGGAGCAACTCCGCTCATGTGCAGCCTGCTTACATGTTCTTTCGAGGCAGCTGCGGTTCTTCTTCTTGCCGATGCCAAGAAGGAGCCGAAGAACGCGCGTGGGAAGACTGCTTCTGATTTTGCAGAGAAGATGTGTGCCCCGACCTACATCCATAAAGCTCTTCAGGGAGACCTGTCTGAGTGTGAGTCCCTGGTACGAAACTTGATGCAGGAACTGTAATGAGGCCATGTTTTGTATCACGCCTTGTGTTTCAATCCTCGCGGGTGCTGGCTTGCGTCTTGATTGAATCATGATGTTCTTTGCCACGCCTCTTTTTAGTTCAAGGTTTTATCATGTCGAGGTAGGCTGAAGCCGTTTCCGTCTTGCAGCAGAACCGCTTGATCCGACCATGTGCGCTTAAAAAGGAATGACTTGCAGATGCCATGACGGCACGGGTAGGGCCAGCGAGCCGGGCACGAGGCGCGTGCATTGGCTGCCTTGGCACATCTGCACAGGACAATGTCGAAGTGATGTCCGAACGGCCGCTTGAATATCAGGACAGGGGTCTTACTGGTGAATCAGTTCCATCGGTGTTGAACTCAAGCCCTAGGCTGGGCTGGGGTAGGGTTTGGGGTTTGAGGGTTAGGGGCCCAGAGTAGGTCTTAGGGCTTCAGGGTTTCAGGGGCTATTGAGGTTCGGATTAGGCTTTGGGGCTTTCGGGCTTGGGGCCCAGGGTTTCGGGTCAGGATGTCAGGGTCTTGAGGTTTGGGCTTCATGGTATTGGCACGGACAGGTCGACATAATAACTCTAGACATTTCTGGTAGCAGTACCGCCAATGGCAGGCCGGTAAGACGTGCAAACAAGAGTAATCCTCTCAGCAGAAGCGGTAGTAACAATGATCGTAGCAAGCATCACGAGAGTTCACCCGAAAGCTAGATCAGTAAGTTTACTGCATCAAATGCAACCGCCACGATCTGCGACGATAGCAGCGACGACTGCGGCAGTGATGACGACGACGACTGCTGCTGCTTCTACAACACCAAGGCATACTGAAAAGGAGCACGCTCAAAGACGCCGCTTTAAGCATGCATACGCGACCAGTGTCAACAGCACCTCATCGGCGACGAAGGAAGGCTGGATCCACCTGCCAAGCACTAGCCTCCAGATTGTCGCAGACCCGGTGAAAAACAGTTCTTTCTGCATTTTGGGTTCTGGTTCTCATGATGGATGTCGAGATTTGGTGTTCTCCTTTTTCGGCCTAGTCATTCAAAGGCGAAGATGATGAAGCAACGCTCAAGATGGCGATGAGTGTATCAATGGTGCTGACAAGATGACCATGACGGCGGTCGTGGCCCGGCGGCGAGTAATATTGTAGCATGTTGTAGCAGTGCTCGGATCCCTTTCGGATTCATCGCTCTTGGTGCAATGTTGCGGCTATTCCATCTGTCATCCAGACCTTCCCAAAGACTTGAAGGGCATTCTGCGAGTTGAGGTTGGCATCCGAATGTCTGAAGAATTTGCGTTCCCTTCTCGACGGAGCCCTGTGCAATCAGCCCATAGCCGTCAGACGCAACCCTCCTGGATGCAATGTGTTGGTGTCTGCCTTTGCAGGCAAAACGATGATGTCAATACAAGAGGTAACCTGTTACGCTGTGACAAAGGACATAGGGACTCTGGCAGCAAGCATGCGACAGTGCCACGGTGTGCGATGAGACAAATCATGGAGTCATCATCATCATCATCATCATCATCATCATCATCATCAGCATCATCATCATCACCACCGTCANNCCACAAGCACCACCAGCACCAGCGCCGGCACCAGCGCCATCGCCGTCGCTACCATCAGCACATATGAACTAAGGTACCATCAGCTTCAGCACGTACCCATCTTCATCTTCATCTTCATCTCGATCGGGAGTTCTACATGCACACCGCACACTCGTGTTGCGCACAGTTTGAAATTGAAGGTCTTGATAAAATCTGAAGCAACAACTCCAAAAGAGCGAGCAATCCCGAAGCCCTGACATTTGTTCTCGTCATCATAAGCCTCAGTGTCCGCGTAGGTGCTGTGTTTGATGCCTGCTACAGCACGGAAACCAACTTCAAAGGCAACTTCTAGAACTGAGGCCCCGAACCCAAAGCCTCAGCCCAAACTCTCAAACCCATCTCCAAAGCCCCAAAAAACCTGCCGAAACCCTAAACCCCAAACC